GAGTGAAATAATTGAAATAACAACGAAGAATAATTGATTCTAAGTTTTGTGCTCTGGAAACCTCGGTTTCTCTAGCGCACGCCGCTAATTACGATACATCTCGATCAGTGCTCTATAATTGAACGTAATTGTTGTTTGAGTGGTGATTAATTGTTCCAGCTCGGTTGCGTACATTCAGAGGCGCGTTACGCACGACAGCTCGCCGTGTTATTATAAATAATAATGCTAATCATACCCCTGTTCGGACACTACGTTTATCATCGACTTAATTACAGATCGGTGGATTAATTACAGCGTTGAGACACCGTGACAGGCGAAGATTCAGTGATACCGGGCCATGGTTGAAAACATTTCAACCGTACCTCCACGGATGGATCTGACGAAATTAGTAGGGAAAAAATGACGATGCAGTCGAACAAGTGAATTTTATCGTTCGATCTTGATGCATTGTAAGCAATTTCGGCTACAACGAACACGATCGTTATCAATTAATTTGCATCGATGAGATAGCCGACTGATTATGCACCTACCGCGATCCTGTTCAAGTAACCATTGGTTTTTTAAATTTAATTAGTATTCATTAGGTACGATGACTTACGTGTTTGATCGCGCGAGACTCATTTAAATGCATAGAATAATTATGTTCAGTTGATTTAATAACACACAACCAATGTAATTGATAAAGTGTATATAAATGAACATACACATTCCAAGTTTCTAATGACATCATGAAATTTCTTATTAATCCCAAATTACTCGAGTAAACACACGTGTGTGAGAATTTCCTGCTAACCACGCAATCGAAGACGGGATTTTGCAAAATGTAAAAGTCATCCTACGCAGTCAGTCCACGTATCTCCGACGCGACTGCCCTTTATTGAATTTTTTGTGTACACGATGTCTGGTGACTAATACAATATTTACACAGGTAGATATGTTGGCAGCGTCCGATAAAAAATATCAATTGCCTCCACTGATTCCGTCAATTTCAACTGCGTAAAAAAGCAGCGATGCTTTATTGACTTTGAATAAAAATGGTAACAAGCTGAATTTTCAAGGATCATGGGTATTGTTATTGAAATCGACTAGCGGAACGCCGGAAATTCTACGTTTAGCGAAGAAAAGCGATGAAAACTCTCGACGGAAAATCGAAGATGAGGAGACACGGACGTGCAACGCGATTAGACGTATCCTTAGCGAGTTGGAAGAGTGGCGCGTGCACGGAATTCGAATCCTGCAGGTTCCCAGGGAAGCGTGCCAGGTTCAGGACACCGGCCTCGCGACCTAAACGAAGCGAGACTCGCTCGAAGGCGACGTAAAATATTTGCGGTTAGCCGACCGTTTCCACGTTCTGCGGCAACGGAACGCATCCTAGCAGCTTCTATATGTGCAACGGCGTACCTTCACAAGCGTTCTGCATGTCTAAGGGAAATAACTGAGTCGATGAAAATTGTCCAGCGGTTGCTTCCAGCTAAACCAGACAAATTTTTCCAGACCATCAAAAATTTACGGCGAACAGTTATTGATTTCATATACCGGAGGGAGGTTGTAAAAATAATTTTCATTCCCGAAAAATGAATTAAAATTCCCGCAACACGCCTGTCAACCTTTCTAATTTGTCAGGATATGTAACCTGGATACTGGCGACAGTTACGGAGGCGCATCAAAATTTCGAAATTGCAGTCGTGTGGGTTTTGTCTCGGCCGGTTTCACCGTCGACACGCGCAGTTTCACGCCGCGCGAGCAACTATGCGGGCCACCGCGTTGCACTCGAGGAATCCGAATGGGACCGCGCGTGTCCCTCGATTTCACGCGTCGGCGAGCACGGGACATCGCGACGAAAAAATTTAATTACAATCCCGGCAGAGGAGCGTAGTGTGAGGCGATGTAAAGAACGATGCGAAATCGCGAACAAAGCCTGCTCTCCTCTTCCGAACCTTCGTACCGGGGGATAATCGAGCGACGTCGGACGAGGACTCGACTCGCTTCGCCTCTTTGAACCACGCCAAATCGGATTAATTTGGATCATTAGCTCGCTTATCGGCTGATGAATTTTATTAAGCCCTAACGGAGAAGAATCTCGAAGGAGCTCTTCAACAATTTCGGCCCAACGAAGCGACACCGAGCTACCCAATAGAGAGTTGACGTTTCTTTGCTAACTTTTTAAGGGTCAGGAAGAAATCGAGTTAACGTACTGGCTCGGGATTCGTCGAAGGTTTCAATTTACCCAAGATCGATTGTGAGTTTAGTTATCGTTTTGAGCCGCGTAGACGAATATAATAACACCTAGCAGACGTTCAGGCTATTCCTCAAACACTTAGCCCCACGGTTACGATTGTTTTCCCTGTCGCGTGATGTTTGCACAGTCTAATCGAAAAATCATAAGCACCCTTCCGGCGTTGCTACTGTCAGCCGCTTCGCGAAAGGGGTTGCTTTTATCGGGGTCACGCGATGCTCGTGGAAAAACAGATAGTCTATCCTCGTCTCTCTTTATCTTTTGTTTATTCGACGCTTTGGCGTTTCCGTGATCGAAGCTGCCACTTGTGAATCTTTGGATAACTGTGATTAGCATGAAAGCCGACTGAAATAGAATCTTTTGATCGATATTCTAATTAACCTATTTGCGGATTAATTTAACGAATAACATATTTGCGACGCCGTGTGTAATAGAAATTAATGAAGGATCTTTAGAGAAAAATATAATTACTGTTGATCTTGATTGGAAACGACAAATTCATGATTAATTACTCCATAAACCAGCTCGGTAAATGAACACCGGGCTACGTTGATTAATGAGGAAAAATCGGAATTATACATCGAGTTGCGATCATCTCGAGAACTCCATCACTCGATTAAAACGAGCTGGCAACGAGGGAGCAATCAGACACGGAAGAACATTGCAGCCGAGTTCGAGCAACCCCTGGAGACTCGCTGGAAACTCTGATGACCCGTGTCACTGGTAAATCGATGCATCTACGTTCGCGTATAACGCGAGACCGTTTAGCTGTCCATGGACCGCAGATTTAGACGGGGTTACGGACTGGGAAATCTGGCCCGCTCCGTAATTATCTTGACATCGGGTAGCTACGACCGACACAGGTAGAAACAGTGATTCTCAACGGAGATAGGAAAATATTTTTCGTTGGACATTCGAATGGGCTGAAGAAAGGTTTCGAGGTTCCTATTTTATGACCCTTGTAAGATTGAATCGTGTAGGGAGTTTGGAACATTTTTTTTAAACTTAAGATATTTAATTTTAATTAAGAGAATAGATTAAATGAAATTTCAATTGATTCATTTTATTGTAATATATCAGCCCGTCGATACCAGCCGACACTGTTTGATTATTCAATTTTATCGAACGCCAAATTGATTTTTCCGATCAATTTGCCATCCAATATTGACTTTCGTAAGACAATTTCCTTCCTTCGAAATTCATAACCGGCAAAGTCATCTCCGATATCTTCCCTATCATTATTTACTCAACCGGGAGCATTCTTTCTACTCGTCTTCCGTTTGAAATGAAATGAAAAATTGATGCGATCCTGTATTCGATCCCACGGCAAAACATCGAGGAGATAAAGGTAGGAGAAGAAGAAAAAAGAACGGAAATTATGTATGCCGAGCGTCGAGGTTTTCGCGTTTCTTTCGCGTCGAGACTTTCGTGCCATCGCGTCGGCAATAATGTATTTCGAGGATTTAATTATTCGCGGTATCCCTTCGCTCGTCGACGGCATATTAATCGTATGCTAATCGATCGTCATTAATGGGCCCCTGTTACAGCGGTTCCATCGCGATCGCCGCGAAAGAAAACAAGAAATCGCCACCAGACTCCGTCCGTCTGATAAATTGTTTTGCTCCTAACCAACGACACCGAGTGTACCAACAAGTCTGCTTCATTAACAAGATCGTCGGTTCGAATGCACCAACCGGAAAGTTTATCTTTCTGAAACTGTCTCGCGACCGTGTCGAAGGAGAAAGTGGAAGAAAATTAAAAATAATTGTAAAAAATTCGAGGATCATGAAAATAGTAAAGCAAAGTTTTTTAATTTATGAGAATTTATGAGAAACTTAGCTGACTTAAGGTATAATTTATTAACTAATTTTCGAAAATGTGGCCGCTATTAACCAACCGCGTCGATAGCCGTGAAAACTTGTCTATATCGCAGAGAAACGATCCCCTAGCTCCGTGTTTAATAATTCTTCGACGTCGGGCGGTGTACAAAGTGCTTGTATTCGCGAATTATGGACACTAGGGAGAACGTTGTCCATCGCGGTATCATCGATAAAACGGGAACCGCGTTTCCAAGCTTCGAGAACACGGATATTCCTGACGTTTTATTCCAGGGACCGTGTTGTAACGCGGTTTACTGCGGCCCGTTGCGTTTTTATCGCTCTTCAGGCCACCATCGTCACGAGGAAATGCAAAACTATTAAACCGACGTTGATGCCGGCTGGAAATCCACCGCGAGGAAATACGCGGCGCGCTTAACGACCGTCGTTCAATTCTCTTTCCACGCATCGACGTTCGACCGGGAGCAATTCCGTTTAAATTAACGCTTCTTGCCTCGATTCGCTCGAAACGAACGGCGCAAAGCTTGCCCGATGCCTTGGCCAACGTTTGGTTACGCGCGTTTCATCCAGCTTGCAAAAACAAGCGGCTGTCGTCGTGGGAAACGAGAGAAACAATAAACCCGATCGTCCTGCGGCTCGATTATTGATTCGATGTCCACGCATTCTGTTTCTATCGACTTTTCTAGCCTACGAACGACGCTTTTATACGTACGCTGGCTTTCATCGACTTATTTTATGAAATCTCTTGTAAATGATATATTTAACCCTTCGCGGACGATCGACTATTGATACGAAACACAGCTATAAATGCAGACAGTGAAAATTTATAATATATAATACTCTGTCCAAGCTTAAGAATGCTCCGTCCTCAAAGGGTTAAATGAAAATAAAATTAGAAGAAAAAAATGATTGAAAAATGGACTCACAGTTTTTCGGCGAGGAGCATGCTGGCCAGGTCTCCAGGAATCTGCAAGAGTCCCCGATGAGAGCAGTCGACCTCCTGTCCGGTACACGTGCACAACCAAGGGCATCTAACACTGTTCATGTCCTCTATAGTTCCTGACAAACTTCCGAGACCGAATCCACTGAGGGCGGTACCATGAGAGGCGCCACCGCCCAGCACGGACAGTATCAGCAATAGTCCCCAGGCGCAGACGACGGAACCGCAGCTGACGCCGAGTAAACGTAGGGACCAAGCGGGCGTCATGGCACGCGCCATCGCCAACACCTTCCGGTTAATGTCCTTCACCGCGCGATTAGGTCCCTCGAGGATTTTGGCGATGCTCCCGGCGCGGCTCTTCGGTAGAATATTGTTAGGATCGTACAGGCTGAAGCAGGCTGCCTCACCGTTTCCTATACGAGATACGTTGATGCCCGGATAACCGTAGCTGGGAGCTGGCTCGAGGAACGAGGATATCTCGAGTCCTTCGGCGGGCGGGCAGCCCAGTATTCTTACCGGCTCGAGGATCGGGTCCTGTTCCAATCGTATAACCGAACACTCGAACTCGTTCACCGTCAAATCTCTCGTATCTTGATTCTGTCGTTCCGTGGCTTTACCTCGCGACCGGTCCCTCCGTCGACCATGAACCCGACACGATCGATTGGAATTCCTTCGCGTGCTGTCCGCGTGATGCCTCGAGACGCCAGCCGCCGACACTCTATGCCTGCTGTGCGCCGGACACTGTCCTCCTCTCCTTTCCAACGATTCCTCGACGTCGGCCGACGTTTTTCTCGACCGTTTCGAGCGGACCTCCGAGCTGCCGTCCGCTATCAGCTGCAGATCCAACGCGGCGTTCGCCTCCTCTTGCTGGTGTCGCCACTGATGGACCAACACCGGCGTACGATTCAACGCTACACCGCACTCGATCCTCAAAGCTTCGCAGGCTTTCGATTCGTCCACCGTGAGGGAAGTCGATACTCGTCCAGCATCCGATTCCGTTCGACCTGGACCAGCGCACGCGGTACCGAGGTCCTCCTTAATAGACGACGATTCGATCGTCTCGTTTCCTTTGTTCACCACCGAGTCGATCCGCGAATCGGCCACTGACGATGGCTGCTCGGGAGCTAGACCATCCAGCAGGCCCTTTTGGGGCCCGTGTTCGTGGCCCCCTTCTCCCTTCACTCGCCTCTCCGACGAGCTGTTGGACACCACTAACGGCACCACCCGTTCCTGCGCATCCTGGGGTACCGCTCTCACTGACTTTATCTTGACGCTGGTCTGTGCCCTAGTAACTACCGTACCCGCCTGGGTACGTGGATCTGACGCGTGGGATGAGAGTCCGGCAACCTCGGTACGCTTAAACTCATTTACCGATACCCGATTCCTCCGCGTTTCACGTTCTCCTTTTGCTTCACTCTTCTCTCTAACCGCTGATCATCGATCTCGTTTTACTCTCCACTGGTGCGTGCTTCGCTTCTTCCTGTACACGCCTCGAGTTTCTTTGCGATCGAGCTTCTTCACGTGCAGACTTGCCGTTCTATTCTCGATCAGCTTCCGTTTAGCACCTGCCCACGATCGTCGTTACATCGACATTATATAGACGACAACGACTGGTCGGTCGATTTACCTGCCGATTCAGCCGAAAGCCTGACGCGACATCGATGCATCACCTGCAACATCAACATGGAAGGAACAGGTATTAGAGACAAGATCGCACACCGGGTAACTTCTAGAAGTACGCGCGATCTAATGGCAAAACAGACACGAGCCTCGACCGAGTTATAACTTTTGTTCGCTTCAACAGGAGCCACGTCTCCCGGAGGATATTTAGAACGCGAACGACGGAAGTTGTTCGAGTCAGGTACAAGCCTCGGCCGCGATACGACCGCAATTCAGTTGGATAGGTGTTTCCCGAGCACGCATGATGTATATTCCCCGATCGGTGGAAGTTGAATGCGTTCTAGATAGGCAGACTTGATACAACGCTCGCGATTCAACGTGGCAGACAATTTTTTTCCTCTCCCCCCGGCCTAGCCACACGGCCGTGTGCACACGCGTCACCGAAAAATACATCTTCCATCGTAAGCAGATGCGGCCGCCGAAGGAAATGGGGAAACGAAAGAGGAAAGTAACCGGAGATCTCGAATGGTGCAGCCAGTTACAAAGAGAGGAACTCGCCGCTGCAATATCGGAAGTACGAGAAAAATATGCTTTCGATGCACAATCAAGGACTCGAACGCATTCCATGCACAGCCGTTCCGAGTTGCCAGGCATATTGGAATTTTTCCCCCGACGTTTCTCTACCATCCCTCATACTTCTCTTTCTTACGCCAACCCCCGTTTTCCTTCTTTTCCACTTGTCTGCCGGGAGGAAACGTGCCTCCGACCGACGCACGTGATGTCTCATATACATGTTGCTAGCTGGTAAGTGCCCCCAGATACGTTTCCACGATTTATCACTACCTGGGAAACACCTGGAAATAGAATGTCTGTCGCGTCCACCGCGCGAAATGATACGTGACACGACATTTTTAAATCACACACGTCTGATATTCTGTCTCGTTCTTTCCCGAAGAAGATTATAAGAATAATCCCTCGATTTATAATAAAAAAAAAAAAAATTCTGATCGAATCGAGTAACTTCTTTCTCGAAGTCGGTTAATAACGAAGTAATAAACTTGCAACAATGAACAAATTTTCAATCGTTGCTAAGTAAAAGTAGCAGTAACGAGAAATCAGAAGAAGAAGGGATACCAAGTTCCTTCAATTATTCTTCCAATGAAATTACCAAAGTAACGAGCTAAGAGTATCGTTGAAAGGAGGAAGGTGTCGCGTTAACAGGAAGCGCGACAAAGCGGAATGCGAAAGAAGCCCGCGGCGATGGCTCGCGTCGCGCATTGAAATTCCTCGAAAATCTAATATTCCCTTCGAGAGCCGGTCTGGGGACAGGGATCGATAATTCGATTAGCAAGTAGTCGACACTGAGGATAGTTAGGTAGGACGGGTCTCCTCTCTGTAGACACTCTCCCGGCATACTCTCGAGTACGGTTAAAGTAGCTGGCCCTCGATATAGAAGGGGGGCGCATGTGTGTGCACCCCACGCGCGTATAATATTCTCGAGCACTCTCCTGGAGATAATATCGGGCCCCGGAAACAGCCCTCTGATGTCGAAGTTAAGACGCCAAGGGTGACTACCGTTCCAACGTGAGAGACAGATCTACGAAGAGCCGTTCGAGCAAGAGAAATCCTCTCTCCCTTCCCTCCGCCTTCTCTCGTTTTATCACCGGTGCCTCGGCATTAATTAATCGCGTTAGCGCGTATTAATTGAGCCAAAGCAACGGACGTCAACGTTCGAAACTTTTTCTTTCAACCCTTTCCGATACGAGTCGCGCGTAAAGCGTGAACAAGGAAAATCGATCCTCCGCTTCAACCCTTCGGACATTCAGAGCTCGCTTCTGCTAGCAATATTATGCAATTAATAATTCTATTAATAATTCTGTTCACTGTTTGCCGAGCGAATTTCGTTCGACAGCATATGTCCTTCGTTTTTCGTTTTACACCGGCTGCAAGGTGGCCGACGAATTGGAAGAACGACGTCGCAGGGGGTTGCGGCATCCCCGTATCTCTGTCAATATTGTCCCTTCTAGCCTTTTCCACGAGGGGATACATCGACGGGCTATTGTTTGGCTAGGAATTTTAAAAGCATTAATGCGCCCTCCAAACCGGCCGACGTCTAAAAAAGTAAAGCAAAGTACGGAGCCGGGAAAGGAGTGGCGCGACTGGAAGGAATCACGTGTTTATCGAGGAAACACGAGCGACGCTGAAGTGTCAATCAATCGCTCGGAGAAGTCAAATATTTGCCCTTCCAATTATTCGCTCGACACGCGAGTCGTCGAAAGGGCAGGCACCGAGGGCCGATTCGATATCGACGTTGCCCCAAATACCTGTATCTCGTCCGCGAATACCATTTGTCGTAACGTATAATTTCTCTAATTACTAGTGACAAATAATTCGATGCTCACCGTTGCAAATTGCCCGGCGATTCAGCAAAGGTACCGGTTTCGTCGACGTGAAATTAATGAGTGAGCGACTATTCGAAAACTACTGCACTGTAATACCACCGTCTTTAGAATAACTATGATCACAGAGGCGTATTTTTATCTGTAGGTAGTATCGGAAAAGGAAAATATGGAAATCACTTTGAATAAAAGCAAAAGAAAAAGCAAGTAATTCGAAGATGGCCAATGCAGCCATGTACTCTAGAATATTGCGCCTTTATTGTAATATATTTGTAAGCCACTTCGCGAGACAATTTCATTCGAGTCGTACGAATGTAGGCAGCTGGATACGGGAGTATTCCTTCGAGGTATATCATTATATTGCGCCAGAGGGGAGACCGATTATTTGTCGAATGCTCAACGAGACAAAGGGAAAAGCACGCGAGAGTTCGTGGAGAGATACGGAAGTTCCTCTGCTCCACATTTCGTCCCGATTCTTTTACTCGTTCCTATTCTCGTTGCTTTGCTAACGGAACTAATAAACGCTTCGTTTCTCGCCGTCCAACTTTCCCACCGTTTCACGACCGAAATTCCAACCCAGTACCAAGTTTTCTTAATAACACTCGAAATTTCCTTCATTTTCCTCGGTAGAACGGAAAATTTGCTTACTTCGATTTGAATATATTCAATTTATTTCTAACGAAACTTTAACGAACGAATAATTTTATGAATGAAACTAAATCCAATTAAACGATCATTCTAAAATCGCTCCATTTCGTCTGACAAGAAATACAAGTTAAAACGTGTGACATAATTCAATGGCGTACGATCGCAAAGAGGGTGCTGCTTTACATATCGAGAGCATCCCCTTATCAAAACAGCAAACCGTAACGGTAGAAAACATAACGCCTCCAATTTTCCCGTAAACTTTTCCGGTAACACGGTTTCGTCTGCTTGCCACTGTTAGCCGGAACGAAAACGAGACACACGGCAGCGAGGATTTTTCGTGGAAAAGCCCGCGGGACACAGTTTGCTTTGGAAGCCGTGGATGTTTGGTTAACATGTGTGCCTAATGGCCCGTGCGAAATGGATTTTTAAGGTACCAGCCCGTTTTAAGACGGAACGCGAAGCTGGAAGGGGTTCGGAGCATGGTGGAACGATCGAAAATCGATGTCGACACCGAGGGACAGGGTATAGAAACCACCATGAGCGATGATCGAAAGTCGATAGGGAGGACGAAACTGTTATCCGGTCCTCGATGGACGCGTAATGATTGTTCGTTGCACGAGAAGAGGCGGGACGAGGCTATTATTGACGAGCCACTGCCGTGAGCTGCGCTTCCGCTTCGCTGGACATTTTTAAATTCACCTTTCGCGCCATTATGACGAATTTAATTGCTTCGACACCGTAGTGCAGCGTGAAAATGGTAGGACAGGTTCAAACTTCTCCCGGATTATTGGATTGCGACTCAGAGACAGGCAAGTTTATGAAATTTAAATTTAAGTCTCTGAACGATTAATCAAGAAACTGCCGTAAGGATTCCAATTAGCCGCTGTGTAACAGAAATTCCTATTTCTACAACCGTGTTTCAAATCAGTGTAGCTTTAACTGTCGAACGAATCAAACTATCAACAAACACTTAACTAGCCGAACTAGCTAACAGGATCTCCAATAAATTTGCAACCATTGTTAACAATAACAAACTACCCCCAACATTTCTCCAATATTCATCTGCAAACAATTGCGAACTTAAGTCTCCACAAAATTGAATGAAAGAGAATAAAAAGGTAGTATGATCGTGGGAATCCTCACCGCGTTCCTCGTCACATTATCGAAGCGTTAATTAACAGTCCAAAGCGCGGACCAGGAAGAAGGCCGTTCGAAAACGGAGCCGGTGCTTTCAGCAACGGTAGACAGTTGCGTGAGATAATTCGTAACACGCGACACGGGACAAACGCGAAACGTGTGCCAACGATCGAAGAGAGAGTCGAAAGGAGCGAAATAGATTTCTTTAGCATCCCCCGGTTTGCAGGAGCACGCAATGCGCGTGTACACCGGCCAATCAATGCGCTATATCGTGCAAGAAAATTTATAGATCCGCTGTAGGTGACTCGTAATCTAATATAGGATAATATATACCAGGGACAGTTAGCCGCAGGTGGCTGGTTTGAACTGTTCGGTAGTGATTCGAGTCAGTCCCAATGTCTGGTAATACAGGTCCGCTATCTCACGTCGTAATCGCATTGCACCGTGATTTTTGCCGGTTTTTAAGCCGGTCCCCGGTCAACCTAATTGAATGGTCGGCGAACGTTAATCGATTCGAATTATCGGGCTGGCTACGGTAACCGCGGGATACGCGTTTAATTTATTAACGCGGCTTACTTTGGGTAAACGCGGGAATTGGGAAAGACGGCGATTGGATCGATCGTTTTTATT